GGTACGGGCGCGACACCGAGGATTGCGATCCCGTTACCGGTCAGTAAAAAAGACAAAAAGGAAAAAAAAAAAAAGAAAATCCCATTAAGGGCCGGCCTGTGGTTCACTTGGGAGAGTGTGGTGCTGATAACAGCAAGGCCACAGGTTCGGATCCTATATAGGGATGGCCGGTTCACTCACTGGCTGAGCATGGTACTGACAACACCAAGCCAAGGGTTAAGATCCCCTCACCAGTCATCAAAGGAAGAAAATCCCATTAAAAGGGAAAAAAGTCAAGTGGGAGAAGATATTTGCAAAGCATTAACTGACAAAGGATTCGTATCCATTATTTATATATCTATATATATAATTTAAAATGTTAAACCACTCAGTAGAAAAGTGGTCTTTTGCAGAGGAGGAAAGCTAAATAGCCAGTAAACATGAAATTTTGCCCAACTTCAGGGAAACACAAATTAAAACACCACAAGAGATCTCACACCTCTCAGACTAACAGATGTTAAAAAGTCTGACAAAAGGACCTCAAACAGTAAGAGAGAGAGCACAGTGGGTAGGGTGTGTGTTAGTTCTTCCTCTTTGACAACACATTTAGGAAAATGTGAGAGCTCTTGCAGTTGTGTTTGGGCGACAATGTAAGGATGATTATTAACAGTGTGGTTGACAATAGCAAAAACATTGGAAAGATCCTCAGTATCCGTCAACATGTTAACCACAAGGTCCAGGGTTCAATCCCTGTACTGCCCAGCTGCCAAAAAACAAATAGAAAATTCATCAACACAAGAAAAGATAAGACATAGTGTTATAATCATACAGTGGGATGAATACTACAGAGAACTACACAGAACAGAGTGGATGAATCTCACAAACGTACGAAAAAGCTAATTGCAGAAAAATACATAGAGTATAGTACCATTTATATAAACTTAAAGACATGCAAAACAGCAATACTATTTTTTTAGGGATATGTACAAGGGTACTTCAAACAGTTCATGGAAAAAATAGAATTAAAACATAATATGAATCCATGAACTGTTTGAAGTACCCTTGTATATGTGCAGTAAAACAGATATGTGGGGGCCGGCCCGGTGGCGCACTGGATAAGTGCACCGCTTGGGAAGCACGGCGGTGCTCCCGCCCGAGGGTTCGGATCCCACATACAGACCGGTTCCCGCTCACTGGCTGAGCGAGGCGTGGGAGCAACACCGAGGGTTGCAATCCCGTTGCCGGTCCCCGGTCCGGTACGGGGGCAACACTGAGGGTTGCGATCCATTGCCGGACACGGAAAAAGACAAAAAAACAAAAAAGACAAAAAAAAAAAAAACAGATATGTGACACAGAGTCACATATCCATGTTTGTCATGAAAATGACAAACTCCTGGTCAGAATGCTGGTTACCTGAGAGGAAAATGTGATTCTCTGAGGCAGTCGTTAGCTCTTGGGAGAGTGAGGGGTACAGAGGGATGCACCATGTGTACGTGGGCTCTTAGCTGGATTTGCTATACTTTATTCTTGGGGGAGGCGGGGGTGTGTGGCTAGGTCATAGTTTGTCATATTATTCTTCGTATTTTGTATGTCTGAAATACATACATTGGATAAATGTTTAAAAGAGGACAGAAGAGGCACAGAACCTTGAAGTACAGAGCTTAGAAAACAAGTCTATGCCTGTCTCCGTAGTGTCTTTGCTAGACCAGACTCAGCCTGCAAAGCTTCCAAATTGTTCGCTTTCCAGCTGATCATTGACATCTGTGTAGCAAGCTCTGCACCAGAGAACTCTTTAATCACTCCCTGTCCCTCACCACCTTGCCTCTATTCCACATGCCCAAAGGAATGTTTAGATTGGACTTATTTATCTTTCTGACATTTTGCTGCAAACACTACTGAGTTGAATTGGGTTATGAAAAGGTAACATATTATGAGTAGATGGTGCTGTAGAGGTCCAAACTAGTTGCAGTTGGTCAAACTATGCCTAGTGAGTGAAAAGGGGCCTCCATACTCTTCTTGTCTCCTTCTGATTGCTTAAAACCACCCGCTTCGTCTGTGACTCTTAACTGGCCTGTCCCTTAATCCTCTTCTTGTTTTGGTGATGTTTCTATGATGGTTTTCAGTTCCAAGAGGGCAAAGGCCTGGAGGCTTTATTCTGGCAGCCGTTTGCTTGTAGGGATCACACTTTCAAGGCTCA